TTTTTCACGGCTAATTATTATGAGGTATATATATATATATATATAAATGTAATTATTGAAACGTTTATTGCAGTGGGTAATTACTAAATTGCATGGCCTTGAAAATTTTTGGGTCACAGCGGACATTATTTATAGTTGGATTTTTGTTACGACAAGAGAAAGATGAAACCAAGTCGATATGAAAAGACTTTCTACCGTAAAGTTTAATGCGTTGTTGTTCCTCAGGACAAACAGTACTGTTTCTAATTTTCTTCAGTTTGCCAGATCCATAACAATGTCCCCATCTTGCTTTTAGCACTTTCTTAAAGGAGAATAATGGAAATACTTTCTTTATAATCTATATGGTCAAGATGATTATACATTTTTTTTATTTCTTGAACCAAGACAATACTCAATAATTATTTATTATTTTCCTCTTTGAATAGAATTTTAAAAAAATTTTATAATTTTTTTAAAATTAATATTATTTAAATTAATTATACCATATTATTGTGTTAATAATGTAGAAAAATTGGATGAGCCAAAAAATCCAATAATTAGAATATAAAAAGATAATATAAGCACTATAATTAATTGAACTCATTAATTAATTAATCATATTAGTGCATTTTTAATTAATTAAATTATAGAAGCATTACTAATTAAATAAGTATGTTAATTAAATTTATCTGGCAAATTTGATTATTGATATATCATGTTGAAATTTTTATTTTAATGATAAAATAAGAAGTTTGAAAAAAAAGAGGAGAAATCGCCGCCGCAAGTTGAATATATTTATAGTCACTCAAGTAACTTAGGACAAAATTTTAACTAATTACAATTAGTTAAAAGTAATTTTAATAAAGAGAGTGATAAATTAAAAATAACTTTCGCGATAAATTATTTTCTTAAACTTTATATTTAAAGCACAACACTTGTCTTGTTATTAAGATAATATTATCTTAATTCAATGTTAACTTTCATTTTCTGAAATCTCACAATCTTTATTGTTACAAGATTAAATAAATAATTACTTTACTTTTTTTTTTGCAAGCAATGAAAAAACAAATATTTAATTAATCGGTTACTTTTTATTATTATTAAATAAATTTTTATTATTTATAATATTTACTATTTATTTAGAATTACAAAAATAAACTCTTTATAAAATATATTGTATAGAATATAAAAGTATTTTCTGCCCTTTTAGCTGTGAAAATAAAATGGGAAACGAATCTCAATATTATAGATGTTATTATTGGTTATTGGTTGCCATTGTCCCTACTCGTCATTTGTCGTAATTCTCGTCAACTACCGCACCCTGCTCTAATGAAAATTTAGTAACTTTTAATTTTAATGATGCTTTTATACATCTAGTATTTTGGTCAAGCAATCGGCTGGATTGAATTTTCACGGAGAATCACTGAATTTGATTGGCTCTAAAGGCGATTCCAGAATAGATGCAAAAGCCAAGTACAAGTACAAGATAGATAGATTACCTATCTCTCTTGCACTCATGTGATTTGAATTTGGACTTGCACTTGTACTTGGCTTTTGCACCTATTCTGGAACCGATTTAACAAAATTCAATTTTCACGATGAAAATGTAGTATTTGTCAGAGCCAATTAAATTCAGTGATACAAACGTGAAAAACCAATCCACCCGATTGTTTGACCAAAATACTGGATGAAAAAAAGCACCTTAACAATCTAGAGCAGGGTGTGGTAGTTGACCAGAATTATGACAAATGACGAGTGGGGACAATACAATTCAGCCTACCGAACCTTGCTTTGGAATAAAAATTTTTAACTCTTGCTTCCCAACCCTGTTTGTTGACAAAAGTCATCTGACAATTAAGCGATATTGTGTGACAGGAAATTATTATATTATTTGCATTAATTGACAACGAATGAAAAATATTTATCAAGTGCAACGTTTAAATTTTGTTCATTTATAATTAAATTATTAAATTGTTGATAATCATTTGAACCATAAAAATAGTTAAAAATTTTCAAGTTTTGTAATTATGAACTTACCTCTTAGGGTTATGTGATTTTATATTATATGTAAATATTCTTCGCAGGTTTTTTCGCAAAATACTTGATAGATTGAGAATAAAATATAAATATTTAAAACAAGATGTTCATTTCATGACCATTTAGCTTCCTCATCATGATACACTTATTTTCAAGATTAAAAGAAAGATTACAACTAAAATAGCGATGAATTTTATAAATATTGGTAAAATGTAAATTTTAAATACATCAATCGATTCGCTTTTATGCCAGGAATACAATTTTGACAAGAATTAATTAAAATTTCTATATATAAGAAAAAGTTATTTCAAAAAATACAATAAACGATTTTTTTTTAAATTAAAAATATGATTTAATCTATAGATTTCACTGAAATATGAACTATATATAGATTAATCGATTCGTTTTAATGCAAGAAATAAGTTTTTTTAACCAAACAAAATTAAATTTACAATGCAAAAAAATTTGTTGAAAAAAAAAATTTTCAAATTTTGAAAAAAAAAATATTGTGAATAGGTATATTTGGAAATTCTTGTGCCAGATTTTAGGTATTGACTGCATTAAGCATACAAAATTTCAGTACAATCCGTCAAAACGTTTCTGAGGTAATTTGTACACAATATTTTATGAAATACACACACACACATCGGGACATTTTTTCAGAACTTCAAATATATTAAGGGGGGAACACCAGTTGTAACTCAAAAAATAATGCTTTTTACAAGAATATTTTCCAAAAGAACAATGAATCTTTTTAAAGAATACTATTTATTAGTTAAAAGTACATGTAAAAAGCTGTAATTTAAAAGAAAAAAAAAATTTTTTTAACAAAAACTTTTGGAGATATGAGCCATTGAAGTGGCGCCTTAAGAAAAAAGGCGAATTGCGGTGACCAGCATTCTGCAAGTATACTTCGTCTGAAATACAAAAATGAAATTGATTTACATTTATTATAAGATTATCTAGTTCGTGATCGAAGGATTTAAAAAAAAAAAAAAATTTGACAAATTGGCGACCTGTCAAAGTCAAAAGTATGATTTTCGTTAAAAAAATACGGTCGATTTTCAGCTATATAAAAAAAAGTTTTGCATAAAAAAAAAAATCCTTCGATCACGAACTAGACTTATATGTGTAAATGAAGCACACTAAATTTTAAATAAATCGGTTTAATGGTATTCGAGTAATCGTGGTCACCGACTTGGAAAATGTCATTTTGAGAAAAACGCATTCAAAGTTTCAACTTACTTTTTTTTGTTCAGGAGAAATTTTGTTTCCAAGTTACAAAGAGTCATCGATTCCTGGACCATATAATAACTCTTCCGCAGTGGTTGCCGTTTCTAAATCATAGGAAAAGGCCATGTGTCGTTAGGGTCAGGTATGGCTGGCCACCTTGTATGAAGCCACGGGACGCGCCGCTGCAGTGTTCTGTATATCTCATTTATTTTTCACCGGATCAACTTTGAAATTTACAGACACATTTCTAAATATGTATACTTTAAGAAAATGCACAAAAAAAAAATTCGATTTTTCGAAAGTTACAACTGGTGTTCCCCCCTTAATTCTAGATGAGAATGAGTTCACATAACCTTCTTTTGAAAAATTGAAAATCGTCACGAATGCAAAGCTTGCTCATGAGGAAGCAATAATATAAATATTAAATAATTCTAATAACTAAATTAATTTACAATTTAGAATATGAATCATCTACAAAAAATATAATTGTACAAATAAATTTATTTATCACGCACAATATAATATGATTTTATAAATATTTAAAAATTGATGATAAACATTTTCATGATAATAATCATCAACGATCCAACGGATCTTTTCTCAAACGAAAAAAAAAGTTTAGTATACTTTTATCTCTCGTTTTTTTTCTTTTTTTTTTTTTGCAGACTGCTCTTGACTCTCGAAGAATTTTCGCGCACAAGAACTTATAAGATATGCTATTTAGAAAACCGTGGAAGAATTGTCTCATTTCGACGCCTTGATCTTCAGTTAAGTGGATGCCTGAACTAAACGTCATGCAATGTCACGTCAACATTTGTACCGGATAACTGGAGTGAATAGAATTATTAAAAATCTACTCCTTCGTGTTCACGCTTTTTAAAAACCTCCGTTTCACTATAAGTTAAAGACCTGCAATCTCAAATGCAATTCGTTAGTCTTGCACTTTTTATACAATGAAGCGCACGTCTCTTTACACTTTACGTGGGTAACGAATTCTCAATATAAGTTCGTGCTTCCCTCTATAATCATTAATAAAAAATAAATAAAAAAAAAAAAAAATGCTTCCCATCAGAATCTCAATTTATTCATTCAAGTTCAAGTTAATAATTTCTCTAATTCTTATTAATTGTGTTCGTACCATTAAAAATCATGAAAATATCACTCAAAATAATAGTCCAATACAAAAAAATGAAACGGATAAAAAATTATTCACTCCATCAGTTGTGAAAACAATGAAAAGTGTAACGGAAATTTTAAAAGCAAGAACAAAAGATCCCGCTCCTATTTATGAAAATGTGGAAATTCAAGTTCATAAAAAATACAATTTTGAAAATGAATCAATATCCGAAAATCATGGCCCATTGGTGCATGAAGTCGATAATCGTTCAACTTTGAATAATAATAATAATAATATTATTAATGATAATATTAATAATAATAATAATAATAATAATAATAATATTATTAATGATAATATTAATAATAATAATTATAATAATAATAATAATTACAATAATAATAACAATTACAATAATAATGATGATAATAAAAATTATAATAATAATAATAATTACAATAATAATAACAATTACAATAATAATGATAATAATAAAAATTATAATAATATTAATAGTAATAATAATAATAATAATATTCAAAGAGAACATGACGATTTCAAGCCAAGTATATTTTTGGGTAAAATCAGTGAAATTAATTTTACCGGAACAATTGTGAACCCATTCTTGAAAACCATGCAACATGTCGATTCAGCTCCAGTGGTAAATCTTGAAACTCATCAACAGTCGGTAAGACAGAGTATAGGGAAATTATCGGATACCGATGGTGGATACAAGATTGATTCAGTTAAAACTGAACCGATTCCACATGGCAAGTATTTTCATGATCATCAAAATTTACAGAGCAATCAAAATCATTTTTCAATTAATGAACATTTCCAAAAGAATCCATCTCTTGAGACACAATTCATTCATGGAACTATTAGTATAAAACCATCAAATTCAGAAACTACTGAAATTCCCCATCAAAATTTTATTAATAATATTAATAATAATAATAATAATAATAATGATCATCATCAATACAATAATAGACAACAATATTATGTTAATGGTGAAAATCAATTATCTCATCAAATAAATTATCAGGATTCATATTACGGTGATAATACAGAGAGACCAGTTATTTTTGAGAATAAAATAAAATTTCCCAATAATGATGGAATTTCACAATCATATAATTATGATTATGGACATGTGAATTCATTGAATTTAGATCAACATTTACATCAAAGACCTGAATATGAATTTAATCAATTTAGAAAACCTGACACTTATGTTGAACATTTAAAAAAACCGGAATTATTTATTGATTATCATAATAAAAAACCAGAGACATCGTTTGATGGTATTCAATCGGGATTTTTGGGTAATTGGAATCATCTTGCAAAACCTGATAATGTTTATGTGATTACACACGAAGTTGCTCATATGAAAACAAAACATTTTCCATATACATTTCAACATCCGCCAATTGTTACTGAATTACCATTATCATTGGAATTACCAGTACACGATTGTCATCTAAAAAAAGCTAGGTAAATTAAATTTATTTATTAATAAATTATAAGCCTTTACTCTTATTAGAACAAAAAATTTGGATCAAAAATTATATAAACGGGGTCAAATTATTCGAAAATTATCAAGTGAAGACAAGTATATTTTTAGACCCAAAAAAAATTGATCCCGGGGCCCAATTTAAGGGTCCACATTATAAAAAAAATCTATTTCTTAAAAAAGAGACTATACTAATTTTTAATATTAAAATTTGCAAAATTTGCAAATATTAGTTCTTTTTCAATTGTTTGTGTTATATAGTGATAGTTCAAGTTGAGGGTAATAAAATGTTTATATTTAATCGTCAATTTAATATAAAGCTTACATTAAAATAAATTTTTATTTTATTATTGAAACTGTTTAAAAAACATATTATTATAATTACATGAATTTCTAAAATTAAATGAATAATATAATAATAATATATATAATATAAGAATTCCGCCGGAACTTCCAATGTAATTCCGTCGGAATTCCATCGGAGTTCCAAAGAATTTCCGACAGAATTCCGACGGAATTAGGACTCTAAAATTTTTGAAAAAAATTAATCGGAATTCCGTCGGAATCACATCGGAAATTCTTTGGAACTCTGATGGAATTCCGACGGGATTACGTTGGAAGTTCCGGCGGAATTCTGATAGAACCACCAGGGGGCACTTTCCGAGGAATCTTTCCAAGTGGGTAGAGTCATATTTTGTGAGGCACTTGGCAGTCCGCAGCCTTCTAGTGACTAAAAAATGTTAATTTTCCAGATTTAAACATTTTTGGGCCCATTTTTTTTATCTATATGTCCCTATAAGCAAAAAATCTCAGTTTTCGTTTAAAAAAAATCGTGTTTTGTACCGAAAAAAAGTCAAATTTATTATTTTCAATTAAAAAATTTTTTTTTAATTAAAAATTACTTTTTTTTCAAAAATACATTTTACCAATGTAAAGGATGTCAAAAAAGCAAACAAAATTGATATTGAAATTTTTTTTTAATAAATTATCTATAAAAATGAGTGTGTTTGAAAAGAAAAGTTTTTTCACTTTTTATCACTTCACGTGAAATCCCCCATATTCAATAAATGAATGTCTGAACATAATTTACTTGCTCTACTGAAAATTAAATTTTTTTTGCTAACAGATTTAACCTAACAGATTTTTATACTATAGATGCAAAAAAGATAATTGCAAAATTTTTTGAAAAATATTATAAAATTCGCAATTTTTACTGTCTTTTTTTATACTAACCCCTTGACAGTCCAGGGCCCATATGTGGCCAGAAAAAGTCGTGCCACCTTTGTGCAAGTGGCCATATATGGCCATCGCAAAAAAATAATACTAAATTTAATTTGATTCGCCTGAAATTTGTTACTCGGGGGTTTTTGGGGTCGCTGAATCCAAATTTGAAGTCAGATTTTAAAAAACAAAATGGCGGACCCAAAATGGCGACCATGAAAACTTAAAATTTATCAGATTTACATGAAACTCGTTGCTCAGGGGTTTTCGGGGTCTCTGATTACGAATCTGAGGTCGGTTTTTCAAAATTCAAAATGGCGGATCCAATATGGCAACCCAATATGGCGGATAATTTAAAAATTAATGCGTTTTGACCACAAATTGTTACTCGGGGGTTTTCGTAGTCGCTGAATTCGAATTTGAGGTCAGTTTTTCAAAATTCAAAATGGCGGATCTAATATGGCGGACAAATTTTTAAAAAATCAAACCGATTTGCCTGAAATTTGTTACTCAGGGGTTTTTGTGGTCGCTGAATTCGAATTTGAGGTCAGTTTTTCAAAATTCAAAATGGCGGATCCAATATGGCGGACAAATTTAAAAAAATTTTTTTTTTAAATTGTCCGCCATATTGGATCCGCTATTTTGAATTTCAAAAAACCGACCTCACATTCAAATTCAGAGATCCCAAGAACCCCCGAGTAACAAATTTCAGGCAAATTGGTTTGATTTTTTAAAAATTTGTCCGCCATATTAGATCCGCCATTTTGAATTTTGAAAAACTGACCTCAAATTTGAATTTAGCGACCCCAAAAACCCCCGAGTAACAAATTTCAGGCAAATTGGATTGATTTTTTAAAAATTTGTCCGCCATATTGGATCCGCCATTTTGAATTTTGAAAAACTGACCTCAAATTCGAATTCAGCGACCACAAAAACCTTAAATATGATGAAGTCAAATTTTTTTGGAAACTTTTTTTTCGGACCGTTTTAGGCCCACCAGCGATTTTTAACTGGACTGCGAAGGGGCTAATCAAACAATATTATAATAATTTTTTTTTTTTTTACAGAATATCACCCTGGAAGAAAATTTTTCACATTCTTGGCACAGCAATACCGATAGGTTTATTATTTGCAGCTTTAACTCCAAAAGTTGTTACTATTGACCAGACCAATACTACGTATGTGATTTATAAACATAAATTATTATTATTATTATTATTATTATTACTATTACCCGTGTGGAAAAGTCGACTGTGCCCCAATCTGGTCCAGACTGGGTTTCCCAATGTCCAAAGTGGGCAACCCAGACAACGCCCAAACTGGGCGCGTAACGCTGATCCCAAAGATTTTCCAAGGTTGGGAAATCCCAGCTGGGGCCAGATTGAGTTATTTCATTTTTATTTATAATTGTTAATTAATAATTATATAAATAATTTAACAACAAAATAGTAAATTAAATGAATAAATATGATTTCCTTTTAAATTAAATTGTATTAAAGATGACGACTAACAAACAATGTATATAGTAAAAAAAGTAAAAAAAATATTTATATAATTTAAAAATTAAATAATAGTGTATGTATTAGATTTTCAAGTTTTGGTACAACTTATAAATTAAAATCAGGAAATAACGCAAACCTATGAAATAAAGAAAACTGTGCACGAGGGGAATCGAACCTACGACCTACGGACTTATAGATTAACGCTCTAACCACTATGCTAACGACGCGTACCTGCAGACAAGTTTTAATTTCTCAGTATCATTCATATCATACAATTATGTATTGAAACAAAGATGTGAAAAATATGATTAGGTTAGACAATAAATTAAAATATAATCACTTTCGTTTATTTTAATTTAACATTTTTACCAGTAATAATTTGGATTAATAAGTACCAAAGTATAGTTGTCGTTGAAGTCAAAATTTTGTTCAATTATTATTAATAAATTGAATAAAAATAGGAAATAAATGATTGAGAATGGGGTCAGAGTCAAAAAAGTCAAAAAGACTCAAAAAAAATGACTAAGTTATTATTATTAATTAGCTTAGTTGAATAAATTAAAAACTAAGAACTTGACATACATTTTATTTATTCAGGGAAGGTATTATTTAAACATTAATATAATTAACTAAAGTTTTCAATTTCCTTATTTTTCCTTAAATGTGAATTTTGCCCATATATTGGCTTTTGGAAAAATCTCCAAACGGCATATAAATTAAATATAATTAACTAGTTTTATTATTTCTCAAGTTTTTTATTTATTTATAACAGAATATTAAATTAAATTTCAGTTTGGGAATACTTTGGGAAATCCTAGTTGGGGCCAGGTTGGGTTGACCCAAACTTTGCCCAAGTACAATGAAAAACAAACATTTTTTTTAGCTTTTCACAGTTGCGCTTTTTTGTATATTTCTTCAGCATATTATTTAAAAAATAATTTAATTAACTTAATTCTTTTATTTCTTCATTTTTCAAACTTTGGGAAGCCAAGTTGGGCCCAGATTGGCGCCCAGTCTCACTTTGGGCGACTTTGAGAAGATTTCCACACGGGATATTATTATTATTATTCACACAATTATTTGTTACACTGAAAAAAAAATTTATTTCATTCAAATAATCGGTCACTTATTTACTTGAATCAAATAATTTTTTTTGTGAATTAAATAAACTATTTGAATATTAATTATTAATCAAGTGTAAACGAATTTGACGTATCTGATGTAATCTTTGCGAAAATTTTCTGAAAAATACAACTGAAATTTCAATAAAATTGTTTATTAAGCAAATTCTATCAAACTTTCAATTGGAATTTCCAGGATCTCCATTTTGTAAAATATATTACACTATACTTGAAAAATTGTAATAAAATATTTTAAATTCTGAAAAAAGTACTTTAAAAATCAAAAAAAAAATTTAGGACATCTGAAACTAAGATAGAAATATTTTTATTCTATAAAAAGTGCGCCATAAAATTAATTAAAATTTCTACTAATTTTTTTTTTGTTATTTTTCACTGAAGTTTTGCTAAAAAAAAAGTAAATTTTTTTGGTTCTGTTAATACTAAAAAACAATAATATAAAATTTTTTTGAATTCTCTAATTGCTGTAGGAGGGGGGGGGGCAAATCCTGTTGAGCGGAAGTAAATTTTTTTTTCGTGCTACTTAAATTTTTTATTAGGATATAAATAGCATTACAGATAATAAAATTCCTCAATTATTTTTAACTCACAAAGCAATGGGACAAGAAATAATGGAATAATAAATGAAGTTTCATTAATTCATTGAATTAAATTAAAAAAAAAAAAATATATATTGTCCATAAAAAAAAATTTGCAATTCAAAAAATTTAATTTCAGGGATCCGAATATTGTTCTTCACAAAATGAAATCTGATAGTATGCCTAAAGAACATAGAGCCGGAAGAATTTCTACTAATCGTGACACATGTGAAGAAAAATCAATTTGTGAAATGATCTTGGAAGGTGCCAAAGGCAAATCAAATTTAGTACAAAGCGCTTTATGGAATTTATCGAAAAAGTAATTATAATATATAAATATATTCAGTAATATATATAAATTCATACTTTTTAATAAAAATATTAATATTATTTCAATATTATTTACATTGACATTATTTTTATCATCTTCATTATTATTGTTATTATTATTATTATTATTTTTCGAATTAAAATTTGACAGAATTTCTTTTTAAATAAATTTTTACTTAACAGAATTCTTATGTATCGAATTTTTATTGTATACAGAATTCTAAAAACGCCAAATTTTTATTTGTCCGAAATTGTAAATGACCGAAAAAACAATCGACAGAAATATTTTGGCGCCATGTTTAAAAAATCGTCAATCAAAAATTGTCAAAAAAAAAATATCGTGATTGGTAAAACACCAAGAAATTTATATTGTCCATTTTTTTAATATGTAATCGAAAAAAATATTCATCATCATCATTATTATTATTATTATTATTATTATTGTTATAAATTATTATACATAGCGTGCATAAAAAAATTGCTTATAATTCTAATTAAAAAATATATATTTGTATTAATATTATTCATTTAAATATTTATTTAACTTTTAGTTAAGGAAAAAAAAGAATTGAAATATTTTCCAAATTACAAAAGACCATAAAAGAATACATAATTAATTATATTAAAAAAAAAACTAAAAGAATGTCGCATTAAAAAAAAAAATCTTAAAAATGAAAGTCTTTTCAGATTTGAATATCCCTCACATATATTGGATCGTGACCGGTTCGAGAATTAGTTTCATTCTTTAAATTCTTATAGTAGTGCGATATAAAAAATATAATTGACTGCATAAAATGCAGTTTAATTTGTAAAATATTATCTTGAGTATATTTTTTAAATATGCATTTGACATTTATGTAATTTATAATCCAATATGTACATTTTTTTTTTTTACAGAATCACTGACGAAATTGCCCAAAAAAATGGCTTACAAGAAATTTTTGCAGCAGCCAAAAGGAAGGATTGCAGTTCATTGACTTGTTAAATGCATGTCCCTGAATATGAAAAGATGAAAGAAGAAAAAAAAATTAAAAAAAAAAAAATATCACTATATATCATCGCGGTCTTTGAACTATAATGTTTGAAAGTTATTATAAAGTGTCTCAAAAAGCGAAACGCAATTATATTCACGCTCGAAAACAATTCCCCAAAGGCAATGTGAGTTTGTATTTCTATATGTATGTGAAGGAATTTTTTCCAATTCATTTCGCGCGTCTTCGACGTTCAAGCTAGTAGTGAAAGTTATACATAGTTGACTGTTACAGGTCAAAAGTGGGTCAAACTTTTTTTTGTGCCAGAAAGGGCCATGGGTAACACAATGAGGTTCCGCCTTATACTCTCTCGCGTTTTTCTTCCTCTTTCATATATTTTTATATTTCACTTGTTTCATCCTACACGTGTGTAAACACATTTTTTTTTCATCATTCGAATAATGACAACAACAAAAAAAATTTCACGTAATTGCACACCTTTCACTGTAATAACAACCTACTGAAAATCAAGTAAAATATTGTCATTTGTATTAGAGAATATATCTTAAATGTTTTTAAAACCCAAGACAAAAATTTTTAAACTCCAATTTAGCGGATTCTTATTTTGATGCAACTTTTTTTTTATATGGATGATTTTCTGTAAATGGGGCACTTAAATTATATCCATTAATTATTAAAAGAATTTAGTTTATAGGAAAATTTTTTTAAAATCAATCAAATGTTTCTTTGATTCAACCAAATTCTCATTTTTAATTGAAAAAATTTATTAAAATAAAACAAACGTTTATTTAAATCAAATAAATATTTATCTGAATCAAACAAATTTTATTTGAAATAACTAAAAAAATTTTGGTAAATGCAATAAAAAATGGTATATTTGGTTCAAACAAAAATTTTCTTTCAGTGTATTATTAAAAGAAAACATTTTGGAAACAAAAATAAATAGAATATTAATTTTTATTAATATTATTAGTAATTAATTAATTAATTAATTATTATTATTATTATTAATTTCAAATAAAATTAAATTGAATAATTCTCCAAAAATCGAAATTATTACCTCTATTATAATATATATTATTTTTTATACGCTTTTTTCATACATCTAGAGAAATTATTTATTTCAACCAAATAAAATATATTTGAGTTAAATAAATGTATATTAGTCTCAAAGCCTAGTAACTTATTTACCTTGGCATAAATAAAAATTTTTTTTGTCATAAATAAATTTTTCTTTGGCTTAAATAAATTTTTTATTTAAATGAAATAAAATATATTTGCAGAAAAATAAGTTCTGAATAATCAATTATAAGATTAATTTTGAAGAATTTTCAATTTCTTCAAAGAATAAAATTTCTAAAAATAAGAAAAATGATAAAATAGTTAAAAATTACCTTTTTTTTTATTTTTTATAGTGGAAATATGGTTTCAATTTCTAAAAAAATGTCAACAAAAAAATATTGTCACCCCTATAAAAGGTAAATTTTGATTAGTTTAAATTTGACTGTTAATTATGGTAAAATTCAACAATTTCCATGATCTTTAGTATTTTACTTAAAATTAAAAATTTTCATTTAAAACGTAAATAATTAAATTATTATTAATAAAGTAAATTATTAAGGTTACATTTTACAAAATTATTTTTTGTAAAAAAAAATGAGAAAACAATACATAATTTTAATATAAAGTAATGCTAACAAAATATGAGAGAGTATTATTTTTTTTATTTTTAATCATTATTTTTCTATGTTTAAAAACAACAGAAAAAACGATTTAAAGAAACATTTTTTTAGGGATCTGATATTATGATGATTATTTATTTAAAGAATAAAATAAAATAATAATAATAATAACAACAAAATTTTTTTTGGTCATTAAATTTGTAATATTTTCAAATTTAAAAGATATTATTTTAAATATTTAAAACTAATTATTTTAACCATTAAAGGACTTGATTTAAAAAGAAATAAGTTTTAAGTTTTATAAATCATTTTTCTCAGCGTGTATATTTTTTTAAAATTGGTCTCTAACATGATTTTTTATTAATAAAAAATTAACAATGTCGTACAATGTATATTTTATTAAATAAAATGCATTTTAAAAATTAGTGCAAGTGCATGTATTACTGCGAGCCATTTTAGTAATTAAATTTAATTAATTTTAAAACATATATATTAAATATATGTATATGAGGCGAAATTCCTGAAGTGATCCAGTAGTCAAAATGTGAACATTCCATTTTATGAAAAATCATCACTATTGTATAAAAAGGTGAAAAAAATTTTAACTTATATGATTTTAAAAGGTTTTTTTTCCTGCTCTTTCAAATAGTGTAATTTTTTTTTTTTTTAATTTAAAATATACCCCTTTTTTTGAAAATTTAAAATATTTTTGATTTTTTTAAAATAAAGAGCCATGTTTATTTTTTTTTACCCTGTATGAAGTATTTTGAAATTTTTTTTTAAAAAAAGTCAAAAATATTTTTGATTTTCAAAAAAGGGGTAAATTTTGAATTTTAAAAAAAAATTTTTGCAAAATTCTAAAAAGAAAAATTTTAATCCTCTTTTCTCGTCTACAGTTTTTGATAAAAATTAATAATAATTTATAGGTGAAGTACTTACTTATAGTACTCACAGAAAAAAAGGTGGGTAAAAAGTTGTAAAGATAGAGGATAAAAGTTGTTAGGATACAAGGTAAAGGATAAATTTGTGATGGATAAAAATGTTATTAAAATATTACTAGAAAAATTAATGTCATATTTAAGTAAACTGTATAATTTTAATAAAAATATTAGTCATTTTACACTTAACTTATTAAATCCACAAATTTTATATAAATAAGTAATTGCACGTGGAAATATTTTTCCTATAATTATTGTCTATTAATAGAAATATCTTTGACTAATACAACTGACAGCTGACGACAGTGCGTAAATAATCAGAACTGAGAAATTACAACTCAACGTCTGTATTGTTGCACGAAAGCAGAGTTGGGTAGTAACTGAATTTTTTGTGCATATTAGACTGTGTCAGTTCATCGAGATATTTCGAGTTCAAGATATGACGTCAGAGGCCTGGAGAGACAACAAACAGACGACACAATGTTATTCTTACGGGAAAGAAAATTTGTTTCCACTTTCATCAATTTTATTCATACTTTAAACGCGGAGAACGCTTGTTGACATATAATAAAATTAAAATGTGTGTTGATAATTAATTTTGTTATATATATTTGATTCAATTGCAATGATAGATTCTCTGAATTCGTGATAAAATATAAATTTTGAGGTTAGGGGTGTTTCTTTACTAACTTGAAATCTTTTACTGCTGCGTTAATTCCCACTTAAAATATATATTTTATATCTTTTTTAATAACATGCATACTGAATATTGTATAATAATGTTAAAATGTAAAATGTGATTAGTAAACAAACTTTTCTAACCTTAATATTTATATTTTATCACGAATTCAGAGAATCTATTAATGCAAACGAATCAAATATATAACAAAATTAATTATCAACACATATTTTAATTTTATTATATGTCAACAAGCGTTTTCCGTGTTTAAAGTATGAATAAAATTGATGAAAGTGGAAACAAATTTTCTTTCCCGTAAGAATAACATTGTGTCGTCTGTTTGTTGTCTCTCCAGGCCTCTGACGTCATATCTTGAACTCGAAATATCTCGATGAACTGACACAGCCTAATATGCACAAAAAATTCAGTTACTACCCAACTCTGCTTTCGTTCAACAATACAGACGTTGAGTTGTAATTTCCCAGTTCTGATTATTTACGTACTGTCGTCAGCTGTCAGTTGTATTAGTCAAAGATATTTTTATTAATAGACAATAATTATAGGCAAAATATTTCCACGTGCAATTACTTATTTATATAAAATTTGTGGATTTAATAAGTTAAGTGTAAAATTACTAATATTTTTATTAAAATTATACAGTTTACTTAAATATGACATCCATTTTTCTAGTAATATTTTAGTAACATTTTTATCCATCACAAATTTATCCTTTACCTTGTATCCTAACGACTTTTATCCTCTATCTTTACAACTTTTTACCCACCTTTTTTTCTGTGGCTAAATGTTATGCAAATTGTAGTTCTATCAAAGAAAAATTATTTTTTTTAATTCGATCACTTCAAAAATTTTTCCTCATACACACGGAAAAAACAAACTAACTATTTTAGCACCAAACTGCTTTATCCTTTATTAGTATGCAATTTCGTTTACCTATTAAAGTATGAAATAATGCTTTTTTTGTTTAAAGTAAGTCCATACTAAATAAGTATAATGGTTATACTCTTATAGTAATAGTGACGTACTTTAAAAGCATAATGTTGATGCCCGCGAAGTACGACATATAGTCTACCTAAAATAGCAAGAGCTTCTTCCTTTTTGGTGTATAAATTCTTGCAACCTGCGTTTTGGCCTATATCGATATATCAATGGTTGGAAAGGGAGGGAGGCGTGGCCAAAACGCAGGTCGCAAGAATTTATTCACCAAAAAGGAAGAAGCTCTTGCTATTTTAGGTAGACTATATGTCGTACTTCGCGGGCATCAATTTTATGCTTTTATAGTACGTCACTATTACTATACGAGTATAACCATTATACTTATTTAGTATGGACTTACTTTAAACTAAAAAAGCATTATTTCATACTCTAATAGGTAAACGAAATTGCATACTAATAAAGGATAAAGCAGTTTGGTGCTAAAATAGTTAGTTTGTTTTTTCCGTGCACATATATAGATGTTTGGTATCGGTTTTATATATATATATATATATATATATATAAGATGAAAATTCCCTTAATGCTAATTTACAATTTAATATAAGAAATATTATCAGTAAAATCATTATTTCAATGTTTAAAACTTACATTTTATGAAAAAATCATTTACACTTGATGACACAATTAAAAAAAAAACATTCAGACTTATCCTTATTAAGTTTTAATAGAGGAAAAGTAAATTTTTTGAAATTACACGCTTCAAAAATTATTTAAAATATATTTTATAGACGTCGAATTATA